AAAAAAAAAAAAACCAACTTTGCTGCCACTTACAGGCAACTGAAAGCAATCATCTTCCTAATTTCTAACACGCAATAAATTAAAGGTGTTTTTAAAAACTCAGATGAAAATATAACACAAATTCTTAATTTGTAATTCATAACAATATAAGTATTACTCAACCAAAACTGTATTAAATACATAGTTGAGCATGAATATCCTGCATGAATGGTTAATATATTAACTACTTTATTTTAAATAAGTTGTGTATGTGCTTTTATATCTGCGTGTATAGACCCATTTGTTAGTAGCGTCTAACTCTGCAGGTAAAATTAATAATTCCTAAGTCATAAATTTTATATTATTTGAACATTTTTACAATGAACCCTTTTGAACTTTGTAATTAGATAAAAATACTAAAGATACAACAGAGAAGATCGATTTGTTATCAAAGAGGATAGTTAATGAATTAAATTGTCACTCACATCAAGCCATCTATCCACAATAATATTAGCTTCTTTCTCAAAAGGAGGCTCTTCAAAACTTCTCATTTTATTTAGATGAAATTGTAGGTTTCTACAGACCTGGTTAATCTTGTCTACAACTTCTAAATGTTCATTAAATTCTTCTTTGACAATTTCAATCTGTAAAAAAAGTTAGGTTAACACATTTTTGATAGATTTACATAGAAAAATTAGTAAGAACCAAAATTCTATTATTGGCTATTCAGCTTAAAAACAATATAGGGACACCTGGTGGCTCAGTTGGTTAAACATTGGACTCCTGGTTTTGGCTCATGGCAGAATCTCTTGCAGTTTGTGAGTTTGAGCCCTGCATTGGGCTCTGTGCTGACAATGCAGAGGCTACTTAGGATTCTCTCTCCCCCTCTCTCTCTGCCTCTCCTCCCCTCACCTCAAATAGATAAATAAACTTAAAAAAAAAAATCCACAACATCGTAACAGAGGATACTCCGTATTAATACTTTACATTAATACTTTAATATGTACTTTGTACATTATCTTTTCTAAAGCAGGCTGTTATTTTCCCACTTTCTCAATAAAAAGTTTTTAGAATCCTAACCATCTCATTTACCAGTAATCCTACACCAAAATTTCTTCCCACGCTGCATGATGAAATAATTGTAACAATCTAAAGCCATGTTTCCTGTCCAGGTGAAATAACAGTCTACAAAAAAACAAAACAGAACAAAAACCTTCATTCAATAGTATAAAAAAAGGCAGTTCCTAGATTCCTCTAACAGTAATCATCTGTGGAAGTTGAAGAACCATGCTCATCTGAATAAAACAGAACTCTAATGTATCTTTAATACATCATTTCTCGCTTTCTTTCTTTATTTGAGAGAGAGACAGAAAGAGAGAGAACAAGACGGGGAGGGTCAGAGAGAAGAGAAAGAATCCCAAGCAGTCTCTGCAACATCAGTACAGAGCCCGAGGTGGGGGCTTGAACCCATGAATTGTCAGATCATGACATGAGCCGAGATCAAGAGTTGGACACCTAACTGATTGAGCCACCCAGGTGCCCCCCAATATCATTTTCTTCAATATATGAAATTTATTGTCAAATTCCAGTTAACACCAGTGCTCATCCAAAAGGTGCCCTCCTCAATACCCATCACCCACCCTCCCCTCCCTCCCACCCCCCATCAGCCCTCAGTTTGTTCTCAGGTTTTAAGAGTCTCTTATGCTTTGGCTCTCTCCCACTCTAACCTCTTTTTTTTTTTTTTTTTTTCTCCTTCCCCTCCCCCATGGGTTTCTGTTAGGATTTCTCCAGGATCCACATAAGAGTGAAACCATATGGTATCTGTCTTTCTCTGTATGGCTTATTTCATAACATCACTCTCCAGTTCCATCCACGTTGCTCTGAAGAAGAGACCATATTTCATTCTTTCTCATTGCTACGTAGTACTCCATTATTGTGTATAAACCACAATTTCTTTATCCATTCATCAGTTGATGGACATTTAGGCTCTTTCCATAATTTGGCTATTGATTTGAGAGTGCTGCTATAAACATTGGGGTACAAAAAGTGCCCCTTCAACCATCAGTACTCCTGTATCCCTTGGGTAGAGGGCCCCTGACAGTGCTACTGCTGCTGTGGTCATGAAATTCTATTTTTAATTTTTTGAGGGGAACCCCGCTCAACACTGTTTTCCAGAGTGGCTGCGCAATTTGCATTCCACCAACAGTGCGAGAGGGTTCCCGTTTTCTCCACATCCTCTCCAGCATCTATAGTCTCCTGATTTGTTCATTTTGTACTCTACAGGCGTGGGGGGTGATATCTGGTGTGGTTCTGATTTGTATTTCCCTGATGAGGGAGCACGCGTTGAGCATCTTTTCATGTGCCTGTTGGCCATCCGGACGTCTTCTTTAGAGAAGTGTCTATTCATGTTTTCTGCCCATTTCTTCACTGGACTATTTGTTTTTCAGGTGTGGAGTTTGGTGAGCTCTTTATAGATTTTGGATACTAGCCCTTTGTCCGATATGTGTTGCAAATATCTTTTCCCATTCCGTTAACCTTTTAGTTTTGTTGATTGTTTCCTTTGCTGTGCAGAAGCTTTTTATCTTCATGAGGTCCCAATAGTTCATTTTTGCTTTTAATTCCCTTGCCTTTGGGGATGTGTCAAATGAAAATTACTGTGGCTGAGTCAGAGGGAACTCTTTGCTTTCTCCTCTAGGGTTTTGATGGTTTCACTGTCTCACATTCAAGGTCACACTCTATCCATTTGGGTTATTTTTGTGAATGAATTGTGAAAGTGGGTCTAGTTTCCACCTTCTGCATGTTGCTGTCCAGTTCTCCCAGCACCATTTGTTAACCCCCAATATCATTTCTAACTTGGAAGGTAAAATACTGTATTATCAAAAGGCCGATGGTCTTAAACTACAAAATAAAATTTGAGTGTTGACGAATGTAATGTTTCACTCAGCTTTCCAGTCTTACCTGAGCATTTTTAACAACAATATAAAATTTGAAAATAGATTTCTCATAGGCAAACACCTAAAAAAGTATACACTGCAGGGGACTTCCATTTCTGGAAATATGGAGTAGACATAATTTTCCCTATTCTTCCCATTAAGTACAACTAAAATCCCTGGATATCATATAAGAAACAAACTTAGTAAGAATGAAAAGTGGAGAGTTCAAGAAGTGGAGAGTTCAAGACCAGCTCCTGAACACCAATTTGGTGGTAAGTTCCCTGAATTTTCTTTTTCCCTTAGACAGATAGATAGATAGATAAAATTTATATGGCATGCTGAACAAACTAGAGGACCTAAAACATTTGAAAAAGAAGAAGAAAGTAGGAACAATCGGTCTACCTGATTTTAAGACTTATCATAGAGGTACAGTAATAAAGATAATGTGGTCTTGGCAAAGAGATAGACACATAGATCAATGGAAAAGAACAGTGAACTGGAAGGGGACCCAAAGAGTTTGCCCAACTGATTTTTGACAAAGTGCAAAAGCAATTCAATGGAGGAAAGAGAGCCTTTTCAATATATGGCATTGGAGCAACTAGACATCTATAGACCTAAGTCTCATACCTTATATAGAAACTTACTCTAAATGGATGACGGGCTTAAGTGTAAATCATAACACTATAAAACTTCTAGGAAAAAAAATATGAGAAAATCTTCAGGATCTTGAGCTACACGAAGACTCTTAGATTTTAACACCAAAAGTACAATGCATGAAAGCAGAAAACGATAAATAGTACTTTACTGAAATGAAAACCTTTTGCTTTGCAAAAGACCCTGTTATGAGGATGAAAAGACAAGCTCCAGTTTAGGAGAAAGTATTTGCAAATCGCCTAACAAAGGGTTAGTATCTAGAACAGAAGAAGAATGCTCAAAACGCAACAGTAACAAAACAAAACAAATCTAATTAGTGTAAATAAGCAAAAGATATGAAGAGATAATTCCCCCAAGATGACATACAGATGGCCAACAAGCACGAGAAAAGATTATCAATACCATTAGCAATTAGGAAGATGCAAATTAAAACCATAATGTGATACCACTACATACCTACCAGCATGAGTTAAAAAAAAAAAATTGAGACAGCATCTAATGCTGGCAACAATGCAGAGAAACTGGATCATTCCACAATGCTGGTGGGAGTAGTTGGGCAGTTTCTCTAAAAACTAAATACACGATTAACATACAGGCCAGCAACTGCACTCCTACACAGTTAACCCTGAGAAATAAAAACTTACATTCACATAAAGACCCCTATATGAATGTGTTTATAGCAGCTTTACTTGCAATAGCCCGAAATTATAAACAACCCAGATGCCCTTCAGCGGCGAGTAATGGAACAAACTGTGGTTACATCCATACCATGGAAAACTACACAGCAAGAAAAGGGAACAAACTACCAACACATGCAAGAATCTGAGTGAATCTCCAGAGAATTATGCTGAGTGTGAAATAGCCAATTCCCAAGTTACATACTGTATGTGTATGTACAGGAGGAAAAGGAGTAGGGCTATAAAAGGACAGCATGAGGGATCCTCGTGGTGATGGAAGCATTCTTGATCTTGACTGTATCAATGGCAGTGTCCTGACTGCAATATTGTACTACGTCGTTTTATAAGATTTAACATTGGGGAAACTTACAGTAAAGGGTCCTCAGGATTTCTCTGTATAATTTCTTACAACCGCATGTGAATCTATAATTATCTCAAAATAAAAATTTAATTAAAATAATAAAAACTGAGGAGTATTACTCAGCGATCAAAAAGAATGAAATCTTGCCATTTGCAACTACGTGGATGGAACTAGAGGGTATTATGCTAAGGGAAATTAGAGAAAGACAAATATCATATGACTTCACTCATATGAGGACTTGAAGATAGAAAACAGACGAACATAAGGGAAGGGAAGCAAAAAGAATATAAAAACAGGGAGGGGGACGAAACATAAGAGAGTCTTAAATATGGAGAACAAACACAGGGTTACTGGAGGGGTTGTGGGGGGGGGGAAGGGCTAAATGGGCAAGGGGCATTAAGGTATCTACTCCTGAAATCATTGTTGCACTATTTGCTAACTAACTTGGATGTAAATTATAAAAAATAAATAAATTATAGAAAGAAAAAGAAAGATAAAATAATAATAATAATAACTGAATAAAAATTCTAAAATAGAAAAAAAATTACTGGGGGGGTTTCTGTCTCCTGACTGGATGCTGAATGATACATCTTCAAAGCTGATTGCAAACTCCAGTGTTTTTCCTCCTGGCACAAGCCTCTGCAATGGACATAATACATTTTTGTTCAATCAAATGGAAAAAGAATTTGTTCAATTATATGGCGTAATTTTCAATACATTCAAAGACCTCTGTTGTTACATTGACATATGCCGCCACTGGGTGAAGAAAAAAGAAAAAGCAGGAGAGGGTATCTTTAGCACTGACGGGAACTGTGGGTTTTGTTCCACAATACATTGAAAGGGTAGAATAAAGGAAAGTAGGCTCACTCTGTCTTTTCCCAAACTTGAACGGTCCCCTGACATTCTAGCCTTTAGTCTTACTCTTGCACTTCTGTCTTTCATTAAAGAGAGTGGAAATCTGGCCCCATATCCTAGATAAACATCCAGGTTTCTATGGTTTGAAAGACAAAAGTTCTCAG